TATTCATCTTTACCAAGGCAAGAAATTTCATAGTTGTTCCATTCCCCCAAGTCTTTTACTATTCCACATTGGAGGGTAATTTGCCGTAAAAAGATGTTTGTGTGCTATTTTGTGTTCTAATCCAGAAGGCATTGTGATGCTGTGATGCTTCCTGGGGACCCAGGGTTATCAAGCACTTCACTACCACCTGCTCGGGGGTTGGAATGTGCCTATCATTAACCTAAAGAGAGAGAGAGAGAGAGAGAGAGAGAGTGGCCTTCATAGGCCTGGAAGGCCATGCTTGTATTATCTATGACCTGACCCCCATAGCCAAGGCTTCCTCACTCTGAGGGCAGGTGGTAGTGAGGTGCCTGGAAAGTATCACCGGTGCCTTTTACCCAAGGCCTGTTTCTCATATTACTGCAAATGGTTCCATTGCCAAAGCAAACAATGGGGGAATAATAGACAACTCTGTATCATACCCATAGACAATTTAGGCCACCAAAAATAAAAAATCACCCATTCATCCAGACCAATTTTGAACACTTTTTTTTTTAAATTCCTGTCACTGAGGCCCTCTCCCTTTGCTACTTTCATTAATAATCAGGAATTTATCCCTAGGAAATATCAACGTGACTATGCATTGTGGGTAAGAGCCAAAAGTGCTCAATTCTGCAGTTGTTCCTACGTCCTGATTGGAGATCATACCAAGAGATATGTAATAATATAAGTAATATAAAAATCCTGTATTTTCAATATTTACAAAGTCAAACATTTTCTCGTGAGATCTGGGTACAAGGCAGCTCTATCTAGCCTTTAACCACTTTTGGTCTAGGTCTAGAAAGCTGGAACAAAAGGTATAATTTCTAAGATATATACAATTGGATTGAAAAAAATGTTGATAACAACCCAGATGAAAAGATGGGAGAGGGAGTTAGACAAAGAAATGGATCTAGTGGGTCTCCATAAGGAAAAGGGGACATACATCTTCAATTTGTGTAGCTCATACAATTTTTTTTGGATAAATTACTGTATAGATGGCATTAGAAAAAAAAGAACTAGATAAATTCATGGAGTATAGGTCCATCAATGACTATTAGCCAGGATGGGCAGGGATGGTATCCCTAGCCTCTGTTTGCCAGAAGCTGGGACTGGGCGGCAGGGGATGGATCACTTGATGATTACCTGTTCTGTTCATTCCCTCTGGGGTACCTGGAATTGGCCACTGTTGGAAGACAGGATACTGGGCTAGATGGACTTTTGATCTGACCCAGTATGGCCGTTCTTATGTTCTTAGATTATAGTTAAGATCCATCATATTTTTGCTACTATGTAAGCACGCTGTTAGAAGGGTTGCTGGGAAAAGGGAACATACTTGTACAAGTGGAGATTGTATCTAGGAATTAGATGGTTTAGGGAGGAAACAATTAAAGAGATTAATCTTATGACAAAATGCTGGCGTCCTAGAGATCCCCTGTCCTGCTTACTTAATGCTCCAGGAAAGGGTCTAAATTTTCAACAGAATGACAAATTAGTTTCTTTATTACTGCACTTTATTGGAAAAATGTGACTCCTCCTCCTATGGAATTGTAGTTTAGTAAAATATGGACTGTCCTTGTAATGGAAAGGCTTTTGCCCCAAATACATACAGAAGAGAAGTGCCAAAAAGAGGATAGGTATTTAGATATTTCATCCTTTTTAGTGTACGTAAAGGAGAAGGGGTCCCCAGCCAGCAAGCCAGAATCTTTAGCCAGGTTCTTTGACTAGTCACCTGATCCTGAATAAGCAATGTATAATGTAGCATGTTAACCTTTTATTTGTAACTTTGCCTTAATAAAACGTTTTAAAAAAAAATCCAAATGTTCTATTCACTCTGATGAAACTCCATTTTGAGATCTTATATCCATGCCTTGAAAGGCTAGATGCTTGACTTTGTATCATCTGGACTGAGACTGAACAGACAAGGAAGGAAATGAAATACCAACTGCATATAGTTTATACGCAGTTCATCAGGTAGCAAAGGCTAAAGCTATGCCACTCTATTCTGGGCTTTTATTTGCTTCACAGATCCAAAAGGGTAGGAGAATTCAGAACAAGCTTCATTCTGAAGCAACAGAGAATAGAAGTAAGTGAAGTGGAGTTCAGCATACTGATTGGGAGAATCCGTTTCCTCTGAGGTGTATATAGCGTGATGCTAAACTGGCTGTAACTTGCTATAAGCATTGTTTGCCAAAAATAAAAACAAGAATTGTGCCATAATGTAGTGATGGTAACAAATATGAGGGAAGAGAATCTCTACAGCACTGCAAAACTGTGACTTGGTGAGGCCCATTCAAAGATGGTTTATCTGCCTAAAACTCAGTAATTCCTTGTTTTGTGGGTTAAAGTTGGATCCTCAACATCATTTAAATGCATTTTGTGTGTTAATTCATTCATGTATGTTTTTAATAAATGTACAAAGCTTGTGGTAAGGAATAATGAAGAAAAGGATGTTGCTATAACAATTCTCAAACTTCATGAAACACTGCGAATGAAATCCTCTTTTTTACTGGTACCTGTGCTGGTTTTTAACTGCTGGGAAAAAATTAACATTGCATCAGATACAAGCTTCTCTTTCAGGCCCTCCACAATTTAGCCCTTCCCTGCTTGTCCACTCTGTTATCTCAGCACGTCATAGACTGCTGCCTTCACTCTGCCAGCAATGCCAATCTTCTCCATCAATTAGTTCTGCCTCTTCAACAAGCACCTCCATACTCCCCCCCCCCCCCTTGCTACCTCATATGCTTAAGCCTTTAGGCGATATTGTAATACATAATAAATAATATCTACAACTCAAACACCGTATCCATGGCAACATGCAGTTGAACTTAGGACTCTATGACCCATGCAAAGGCAATTACTTTACTGTTTCTTTACTGTGTTTATGTATTAATGGTTTAGAATAGGAGGAATGACATCTGAGGTGGGCATTTCCTGGGATGGGTCCTCTGCAAAACCTCCAGCCAGTTATTAACTGCCAAGAGATGCTTGACCTACAGGTCATTACTGCGGAGGCAGATGTCAAAAGAAAAAACATCAACATTCATAGTGATAAGGGGCACTTACATTTACAACACCCATTGGTGGTGCCGTCAGTCTGTGACAATATGAATGAGTGAGAGTTCAAAAAATTGTCAGATTATAAATATTTCAGCAGTAACACACCTGCTAAAATGTATTTAGCACCAGGCAATGCTGTAAGTATAAACAGTCTGAGTGGCAATGAAGTTCAGTGAATAGAGAACTGGTCTGGATGTCACGATAGCTGGAATCCTTGCCTAGATTTACTATTGACTCACTGTTCATCTTGGCAAGCTTTAACCTGTCTGTGCCTTACTTTCCTCTGATGTCCAATAAGGATAATGATACTTGTCCTCTTTTGTAAGGAGCACTTTGAGCTCCCCAAATGAAAAGCGCTAGGTGCTATTAATCTAACATGAAAATGATCACTAATCCCATTCAAAGTCTCTCGGGTCTGCATTGATCTAATGATTTCTATCTCCCTCTATCCAAAATTTGATCCATTGTTATTTAGTTTAAAGTTAGACAGAGAATGTCTTAACTGATTTGTAGTAAGACTCCTCAACCACAGCTTGGTATCTATGGGTATGTCTACACAGGGATAAAAATACTGCAGCTGGCCCGGGTCAGGCTTTTGGGCTGAAAAATTGCTGTGTAGATGTTTGGTCTGGGGCTGGAGCCTGAGCTCTGGGACCTGCAAGGTTGGAGTCAGTTAACTCTGTATCTTGGGTCTTTTATCCTCATGCAGACATACTCCATCAGGCCAGTGTTTTCCTCCGTACTTAGACTAGGGTGCGGTGGGTCAGCAGATGTTGACTTTTTAGAGGCAACCATTGCATATTGAATAAGAATGTAAGAACGGTCACACTGGGTCAGATCAATGGTCCATCTAGCCCAGTAGCCTGTTTCTGTTGGTGGCCCATGCCAAGTGCTTCTGGCAGTTGGAGGTTAGGGGCACCCGCAGCATGGGGTTGTGTCCCTGACCATCTTGGGTAATAGCCATTGATGGCTCTGTCCTCCATGAATTTATATCTTTTGATCCCAGTTATACTTTTGGCCTTCACAACATCCCCTGGCAACCAGTTCACAGGCTGACTATGCATTGTTTTAAACCTACTGCCTATTAATTTCATTAGGTGACCCTGGGTTCTTTGGTTATGTGAAGGGATAAATAACACTTCCTTATGCACTATCTCCACATCATTTATAATTTTAAAAACCTCTCTCATATCCCCCTTAGTTTTCCCTTTTCTAAGTTGAACAGTCCCAGTCTTTTTAATCTCTCCTCTGATGGAAGCTGTTGCATACCCCTAATCATTTTTGTTGCCGTTCTCTGCAGTTTTTTCTAATTCTAATATATATTTCTGAGATGAGGCAACCAGAACTGTATGGGAGATGTGGGCGTACCATGGATTTATATAGTGGCATTAGGATATTTGCTGTCATATTATCTACCCCTTTCCTAACGGTTCCTAACACTGTTCACTTTTTGTGAGTGTGATGTTTTCAGAGACCTATCCCGGATGACTCCACAATGCCACTGACAATCACACAGCGCGCTTACCTGGGGATCTGTTGAAGGATGAGCCTTTTCAAGCCATGCCCCACCCCCACTCCCCATCCTTGCATGGGTAGCTGAGATGCACCTAGCGCCTCCCTACCCCCCACTGCTCGGAGGCGGCTCAGAGCCGGCGGGCAGCCTGCAGGGACTGCGCCTGGGGTTGAAGTACTTTCCCGTGCAGTGGCGGGGCTAGGGAGGAGGCGGCTGAGCTGAGAGCCAAGCGCAGGGCACCGGCTGCCCTTTGAGCCTCAGCAACGCGGGAGCAGCTCACAACACATTAGCCCGGGGCACGGCACGGGACGGTTCCTGTGCGAGCAGCGCCGGGAAGAGGAGGAGGAACCCGGGCTCTGCCTGCCCGCAGCGGGAAGCCCCGGAGGGAGCAGCCGCCCCCGGCGGAGCCATGGAGCCTGCCGAGGGGCAGAGCAGCGGCCAGGTGTGCATGTGCCAGACCATCTTCCCCGAGCACGCCACGCACCGCGGGGAGCTCAGCGCCGGCCAGCTCCTCAAGTGGATCGACACCATCGCCTGCCTGGCAGGTAAGGGGCACCCCGCGCTCAGCGGCCCTGCAGCAGCCAGCTCCCGGGGGGCACTGAGCCGGACACCAGGGCCGAACGTTGGCTGCAGGGGGGAAACTGAGGCACGGAGGGGGACGGGACCTTCCCAAGGCAAATCAGGCGGAGGAGCAGGCAAAGGACCCAGAAGTCCTGACTTCTAGCTCCTCCCTCTTCTGACCACTCACGCGCGGTCCCTCCAGCCCAGCGTGAGACTCATCAGAGATGGGGACTCTCCAGTGTCTGCTGGGATTGGCCCTGCCTGGGAGCTGAGAGCCCCGCTAAGGACATGGCCTGCCGGGGGCTCTTGTTAAACCAGCAATGGGAGCCAGCTTGGCTTCTTAGGAGCCTGTTGTCCAGCCAGTCTGCAGCCTCCTCCCCGCCAGAGGTGATGGCTCAGACTGGAGCGCCCAGCCATGGGGCTGGAGAGCGTTGTTGTTGCTGTGAAGGAAGGAGCCCATCCTTTGGACTCGTAGCCACTTATCCTTGGAGTTGCTCTGCTGGGAACTATCAACGTGACTACACTTGATGGTTCAGAAGGTGTGTGTATGTGTGTGGGGCAGTGGGGATATGTTGCATTAGGCCAGTTACACACAGCTATAGAAGGCACAGAGACAATTCCTAAATTTACCCATCAAGTAACCATTTTAGGACTTGGATCATGAGCACTGAGAGCCATTGTAACTATATGAACTAGCTATTTCGGCTTCAAAAGTTCTGGTTGTTCATATAAATATCTAATTCTTTTAAAATTCTTACTGAACTCTTCATCTAAGCAATTTCCTGGAGCCATATATTCCACAAGTGAGTTGTAATTTGCATGGAAAAAAATATTTCTTCTGACCCATTTTTAAAATTGTAGCCTCTTAATTTCAAAATGTCCCACTGTTTCTTGTATTATGGGAAAGAAGCAGAATGAAATTTGCTCAATTAAACCTTAGAATGAGAAGTGGAATAGAGGTTTAGATCATGTAAGATTTTCCCATCAGTCCATTTGGTAGAGTTTTGTCCACTTCACATTTAAAAGTCCCAAGCACTGGGCTTCCACCACTTCCCTTGGAACTCTATTTCACACAGTAAAGAGCTCATTATAGATGCTATGTTTACAGGTATTCTTATTTTCTTTTAATTGCGTGATACCTATTTACTGCCCTTGTACATAATTTGCTAAATCCTGGTGGATATATTCCAGATCTGCCAATTCTCTCTCTTTCAAGGGCAGCTCCAGCCAACATGTGAAGACCCTCTCTTGTCCTCCCTCTTTACTAGGCAATCTTGTGCACGTTGTGACTGAAGTGGCAATCAGGGCCGGCTCCAGGCACCAGCCAAGCAAGCTGGTGCTTGGGGCGGCAGCTTGTAGGAGGCGGCATTCCGCCCAATCCTAGGGTGGCACAGCCACTTTTTTGTTTGTTTGTTTGTTTGTTGTTCCACTCCGGCCGCCCTGTAGGGGGCGGCGGCGCCAGGGCCGGCTCCAGGCACCAAGCACCCAAGCTGGTGCTTGGGGCGGCACCTGGAGGGGGGCGGCG